CCCCACTCACCATTTCTCCCCCATACAATGAAAATTGCTAATTTTCCCCACACATTTAAATTTTTTTTAAAAAAAAAAAAAAAAAAAAAAAAAAAAAGTGTTTATATGTGGAGGTCAGAGTTAAAGTGGTGTGCTTAGTTTGTGGAAAACATGGTCAGATTTTCCTCTTAACATTTGCAGCCTCAGTTTTAATTCACAGACTAAACATGAAATAAAACATGAGACTTTGGTCAATTCAAACAACTGTTTTAGTTATACATAATTATATAGCTCAACTAAATATAATGCTTCAATATGGTGGGTAACATTTGATTGGTCAAACGGTGGTCAGTTGCAAGGTCTTCTGTCTCTGGAAGAATTTTTTAAAAATAGATCACATAACCAGTTCTTTATGAAATAAACGCTCGTGTCCATCCATTAGTTTGGCCTTCAACAAAAATCATGATTGGTCACATGATCCTTGCGGGAAACTAACAGCAACAACCCTGGTTTATATTGGTGTGGCTGACTTTGCAATCTGCATCAATCCACCTAATCTGCTGCTACTCATCCATTCCCTTTAAGACTGGACTTAATGTACGGCTGTCATTTTTGCAAAACGCTATTCAAAGATGGTGCTTTCCAGGGCTTCTCCAGGTCTTTTTCTTGATTGAAGAATTATTCCAGTTGTCCCACGTTTTGTCAATAGAGTGGCTCAATAGAGCCAGCAGCCTCAAATATTGCCATTACCCCTAGAAACCAGGCCATCACTTGACTAAGAAATCAGTAATGAGCAGTCTCTTGTCTACAGGCTGAACTTCGTGTTCTTTTTCTATACAGGATAAAATTGCCCTGTCTTTCAATGGACAAAGCCACAGAAGGAACAACTTCCATCAATAACTGTATGTCAGTTTCAAATACATTCTACAACTGCATCATAAAAAATGTGGGTTTATTTTCCAAGATTAAGCCACAAAAGCGGTTACTATTTTTTAATTTTCTTCATTATCATTACGTCCAGACAGAAGAAATATGTTGATCACATTAAAATATTTTGCATAATATAAACCTGGAAGGGGTTTGAACAATTTTGGGCATAGCTGTGTTTCTTTATATAAATTAGGCTATTTATGAAATGCTTTGAGATAACTTTTTGTTTTGAATTTGTGGTAGATTAAAAAAACTAAATTGAATTGCTGTGGAAATATTGGGTTCGGTCCATAAGCCGGTAGTGTTCCACTGATCTGAAGGTGTATTCACTTTTCTGCAAACTCATGGTGATGTAACAATTTTTTCTACAGTAGGTAAGGGGACAGACAATAACTTCACAGAATTACACTTTAAAATATTCAAATATTCCTTCAAGTTCTGAATGTAAGGGCTCAATGGTGGCTGCCACCCAGGAAAACACAGACACCACATCCACTTTGACCATGACCACACACACACACACACACACACACACACACACACACACACACACACACACACACACACACGCGCGCACACACACACTATGTGATGTATACAAGCTCTTAAAAGGTTAAACACACACCAGCAGAGGACAGGACATAAACGCAGACTGTAAAAGTACAGGGCTGTCTGTCCTTTCAGACACAACACATCAACAGATTTGGGGATAACCATGTTGTCCGACAAACAAAATTACTCTGAAGTTCCAAAAGAAAAAAAAAAAAAAAGAAAAAAAAAAAATCACAGCAACGTTTAAAGACAAACCGACAGCAGTTTGGGAAGAGAAAAGTCCTCTAAGGATAAAAAGGGGCCACATTGAAGAGGAAGAAGTAGAGCGAGCAAGGAGATAACAGACTTAATACTGCAGAGTGCCTACCTCTTTGTAGTTCACCTTGGGTTCTGCTCTCTTCCGCTTTCTGCCCTTCGCCTGGTGAGTCCGACTGGAGAGAATCCATTTTACAACCTGCAGGAGAGACGATGGTGGGGGTGAGGAGGTGAAGGCGGGAAAAAAGATAGAAAGAACAAACGGAGTAGCCAGGGGGAAACAGTGTGATGGTGGAGGATAAAAAAAATGGCAAAGATTAAATAAAGGTGAGAGTGGAACATCAGAAAGAGAAAAGTGGTCATTGTTCAATGGAAAACAAAACAAAAAAAGCTCTCAGACACCAAGTTCAGATAAAACGCTCACAGGACGACAGAGCAGTCAGAAACCTCATCAGAGTGCAAAGTGAACAAAAATTGACACTGCGAAAACAGCCCTGCACTCATTTGCAACTTTTCTGCACTCAACTAACAAACAACCAGCGAAGACAAAATAAATAAAATGGAGCACAGCAGCTTTCAATTTGCAGCCGTCACGTGTTTCCAAGAAAAGGAATAAATAAATATGGTTGAATGACATAGAACAAAGAAATACCTATGAATATTTAGACCTAAATATGATAGATCATCTTTTAAATAAAGTCACTGAAGCCATTTTGGTGCTTTAAACTTAAACTGCACAGTTTATCTTAGAAGAAAGATGAATGCGAGGATGTGAAAATATAGGCAAAGCAATTAAGAACAACATGGGAGCATTATGGGAAATCTGATAGGCAGCACAGTACAACACGCAACAGATGCACAGCGCTGTGTGTGCGCGCGCGTTGCACTCCTCTCGGAGGCAGACAGAGGGAGAGACTGAAGCGGGGAGCGAATGTGGGAAAGAGAGGTAAACAAAGTGCGAAAGAGGTAGAGATAAGAGATTATATCAAAATAATGTGAAATAAAGCGTGGAACAATTTTTAAAAAGCCCAGAAATTAATAAAGGAAGCCCTGAGGAGGCAAAGAAGGGGGAATTAACTTGGTAAAAGAGAAGACTGATGAAAATCAGATGATAATCATATCAAGCATGTGCAATATTTCCACTCTGAGCGCTTTTCTTGAAGACTGTCTGCCACTCCCTGAAGATGAGAAAAGAGAGAGAGAGAGAGAGAGAGAGAGAAAAGGAGAGAAGCGGAGGAGTTGTGCGCCTACCTCTGCTTTGACTTCTTCTACCAGCCTCGCCTGTGACCATACGGCGCTCCTTTCATGCAGCCACTGAACGACAGAGGAGAAGGGGAGAGCAGTGAGCAGGGGGGGCAAGTGATCGGGACGGAGAGGAATGCTTTGCAGAGGCAGAGAGAGAGACCGAGCGAAGCAGGAAGGGGAGGGAGGAGAGGTGGGAAGAAAGGGAGAGAAGGTGGGTGCGCTATCACTTGTTCCTCTGACGGAAACTCGCTACTTGACTCCGGAGGGAGAGACAGAAGGAAAGTGAAGGAGAGGAGAGGAAAAACGGGGAGAAAAGTAGAATGGACAATTCACTTCATTCCTCGTTTCTGTTTTATTTTTTTCATCCATTCATTCATTTGTGATCACACACACACACACACACACACACACCCACACACACACGCACCTACATACACACACGTGAG